TTTGTCTGTAATAAATTAAGTGGATAAATCGTAATAAGCAAATATATGACTTATAATTAATAAAAATTCCAATAATCATATATACTTAGCTTATATATGAATGATATTATTATATTGGTAAAAACTCTAATTAAGATATGTATGTACATACTGCATGATTTAAAATTAATAAAAATTGTAATCATCATATATACTTAGCGTAGGAATTATATTAAATTAAATGCTAAAAACTCTAATTAACATATGTAAATGCCACATGCATGATTTAAACCTTTTAAAAATTCGAATAGTCATATATAAGTAGCATATGAAAGATAGTAAATTAAATTGTGAAAAACTCTAATATATGAATGATAGTTTTAAAAATATATTAAATTTAATACTTTTAAAAATTCTCCAGTCAATTATAATTAGCATATGAATGATAGTAAATTAAATGTTAAAAACTCTTATTAACATATGAAATTGCCACTTGCGTGATTTAAAACTTTTAAAAATCCTCTAGTCAATTATAATTAGCATATGAATGCTAGTAAATTAAATGTTAAAAACTCTAATTAACATACATATGAAATTGCAACCTGTGTGATTTAAAACTTTTAAAAATTATAAGTATCACATATAACTAGCATATACATGATTTAAACTTGTTGAAACCTCTAATAATCGTGCGTAATTAACATATGCCATACATCAATTGATTTATATGGATAATCAATACATCCAAAATAGTTTACATCGTGTACACAATAATTACGGCATTACATCGGCGGTGACGGTTGACCGCACGTACTTTCTCCTCACTATTGTTCCCTCCTTGTGATCGCTGCGTGAGTAAGGGGTGTCTTCATTTGATAGGAGGATGCTAGGGTCAATCGTCACCGTGAAAGGGGGTTGCCCATCCAACTGATCGTAATCCTCGTCAGTCTTGTCCTCAACTCCGACGATTTTTCTTTTGCCTGGGAGAACCACTTGACGCTTAGGCTCATCAGGACCTCTGCCCTTCTTTCCTTTGCTAGACATGTCCTTCACGAAAAAGACTTGCGTTACATCATTGGCAAGGACAAAAGGTTCGTCCGAGTATCCAACCTTGTTAAGGTCAACAGTTGTCATCCCACTGTCATCAATCATTACGCCTCCACCAGTCAACCTAACCCATTGGCACCGGAACAGAGGAACCTTGAGAGGACCATAGTCAAGTTCCCATATGTCCTCGATGGCACCGTAATACGTGGCAGTTGTTCCATCGTGTCCCATGGCATCGACACGAACAGCGCTGTTTTGGTTCGTGCTCTTCATGTCTTGGGCTCTCGTGTAGAATGTGTACCCATTGATCTCATATCCCTGGAATGTCGCAATCGACCCAGACGGTCCCCTCGCCAGGAAGGCAAGTTGTTGGTTGATCGACTCGTTACCCATGAGATGTTGTCGTAGCCACGCGGGGAAAGTATCAATGTGATGCCGTGTAATCCATGCATCGGACTTACCGATGTTCCTGGCGCGAACTAGAGCCAAGTGCTCCTCGATGTAAGGAGCTACCAATGAAGAGTGTTGCAGAACAGTGAAATGGGCTTTACGGAATAAATTGTTGTCTACCGTCGTTATTGCTTTCCTTCCGAGAGTTCCCTTTCCCCGTAGTCTCCCTTCATGGCGTGATTCAGGTACCCTGATTGGGCGAAGGACTTCGATAAATTCTACGCAAAATTCGATGACCTCCTCTGTTCCATAACCCTTGGCGATGCTTGCCTCTGGACAAGCACGGTTACGAACATACTTCTTCAGAACGCTCATGTACCTCTCGAAAGGAAACATGTTGTATAGGTACATAGGCCCGAGAATACGGATCTCTTTCACAAGATGACAAAGCAGATGCGTCATTATATTGAAAAATGAAGGTGGAAATATCAACTCAAAACTGATGAGACATTGCACCACTTCATTCTGAAGGGCTTCTAATCTATCCGGATCGATGACCTTCTGCGAAATTGCGTTCATGAATGCACATAGCTTTGTTATTGTTGCCCGGACATTGTCTGGAAGGATACCCCTTATTACAACTGGTAGCAGTTGTGTCATCAACACGTGACAGTCATGAGACTTTAGGTTTGTGAACTTCTTCTCCTTCGTGCTTATTATTCGCTTGATATTCGTGGAGTATCCAGACGGTACCTTTATGCTCTCCAAGCATTCAAACATACTTTCCTTCTCTGCCTTGCTAAGAGTGTAGCTGGCTGGACTCAAGTAATGGCTTCCTTTCTCCTTTGGTTCCGGGTGAAGGTCGCCACGTTGTTCCATATGCTTCAGATCATTACGTGCTTCCAGTGTATCTTTCGACTTTCCGTATACACCTAGGAAGCCAAGAAGGTTTACGCAAAGGTTCTTAGTGAGGTGCATCACGTCGATTGCGTGGCGTATGTCCAAGAATTCCCAATATGGTAACTCCCAAAATATAGAGTTCTTTTTCCACATCGCCGCGTGACCATCTTCGCTCTCTATAGGCTGGCTTCCAGGCCCATTTCCGAACACTACTTTAAGATCTTTAACCATAGCAAACACTGTTTTCCCGCTGCGATGTTTAGGCTTCGTACGGTGGTCGGCCTTATGTTCGAAGTGCTTGCCTTTCTTCCGTACCGGGTGGTTTGCTGCAAGGAATCGACGATGACCCATGTATACAACCTTCCTACAGTGCTTAAGATACGTACTTTCTGTTTCATCCTTACAGTGAGTGCAAGCCTTGTACCCCTTGTTGGACTGTCCGGATAGGTTGCTAAGTGCAGGCCAATCGTTGATGGTTACGAACAGCAGCGCTCGTAGGTTAAACTCCTCCTGTTTGTCCTCGTCCCACACGGGGACACCTTCCTTCTTCCACAACTGTTTAAGATCTTCGACCAGTGGTCTTAGGTACACGTCGATGTCGTTACCAGGTTGCTTGGGGCCTTGAATAATAATCGGCATCATTATGTACTTCCTCTTCATGCATAGCCAGGGGGGGAGGTTGTAGATACACATCGTAACGGGCCAAGTGCTATGGCCGCTGCTCATCTCTCCAAAAGGATTCATGCCATCCGTACACAAACCAAACCGTATGTTTCGTGCGTCCTTTCCAAATTCTTTAAATTTTCTGTCGATGTTTCGTCACTGCGAACCATCGGCGGGGTGTCTCAGCATCCCGTCCTGTTGACGCTCTTCAGCGTGCCATCGCAACATTCTAGCATTCCCCTTGTTCCTGAACAAACGCCTTAGCCGTGGTATTATAGGGAAATACCACATCACCCTAGCAGGAATTCTCTTCTTTGTTAGCTGCCCGTCAACTTTCTCCTGGATCGTCTCGTCTAATCTTGTATCGTAGTGCTTTGCAAACAGGGCATGCTTCTAGGTTCTCATACTCCTCACCACGATATAGGATACAATCGTTCGGACATGCGTGAATCTTATGAACTTCCAGTCCTAACGGGCAGACTATCTTCTTAGCCTCGTACGTTGTCTCGGGCAATTTGTTTCCCCCCGGAAGAATGTTCTTGACTAGTTTCAATAAATCGCCAAATGCCTTGTCACTAACCCCATTTTTTGCCTTCCATTGCAACAACTCCAGAGTGGTATCCAACTTTTTGTGCCCCTGCTCGCAACCTGGGTACAATGAAGTTCTGTGGTCCTCCAACATCTTGTCCAATTTATGGGCCTCCTTTTCACTTTCGCAGTCCTCCCTGGCGTCCTGCAACATCTGACCAAGATCATCCGCAACGTCGTTACCATCAGCAGCTATTTCCTCCTCGCCCGTTTGATTTCCTTCAAATCCAACATACTGAGCAAAGTCCGGAATATTGTCGTCTTCCACTTCATCTTCTTCCATTTCAACACCTTGCTCTCCATGGGATGTCCAACAATTATAGCTTGGCATGAACCCCGACTCAAACAAGTGGAAATGAATAGTCCTGGATGCAGAATACTCCTTCTGATTCTTACACTTATTGCATGGACAACAAATAAAACCCCTTTGCCTGTTAGCTTCGGCCACTCTCAAAAAATAGTGCACACCGTCAATAAACTCTTTGGACCGCCGGTCAGCGTACATCCATTGCCGATCCATCTACATGAGTCAAAAAAAACCGTACACAAATAATTATTCTTACAATAATGACAGTCATACAATAATTATAAGATATCTTTATTCATACAAAAATCATAAAATATTACACCAAATAATTCTTAAAAACTATTTGTAAAGTTTTAAACTAATTTTAATGTGTTTTACTTCTTTTAATTTTCATTTTAGTTTGTTTTCTATTATTTAAGATTAACTTTCACTAGAGTTTTCCTTCTCAACTATTTTATAAAACCTTGTTTAGCAAATGAACTAAATTTCTATATATTCTTTCTTCCCCACACACATTTTCTCTCTCATCAACTTACAACTAAATTTTGGAGATAAAAAAAGTGTGCAAAACATAGGTGCAAATGTAGTATGACAAAAAAAAACATTGGAGGATGAAGTTGCAAACCTTTTAGGCACCTCCGATTTGTATGTAATCACCAAAATAAATTCAATAGAAATTTTGGCATGACCTCCCCTCTTTTTTGAAGAAATTTTGAAGCTTGCTCGGGCAGCTGGAGGAGGAAGAAGACATATATATATATATAGGGGTGGGACTTTAGTCCCGGTTGGTAGCACCAACCGGGGCTAAAGATCACCGGGATCTTTAGTCCCGGTTGGTATTACCAATACCAACCGGGACTAAAGTTACGCTTTAGTCCCGGTTGGTGACATGACCTGACAGCATTCGAACCGGGACTAAAGATGATCTTACCGGGACTAAAGATCAAATATGCCCGTTACCCTTTTGAACCGGGACTAAAGATCATCTTTAGCCCCGGTTTTTATTGCATCCGGGACTATTGTGGAAATCGGCCGACCGACGAAAGATGGTTTCTCCACCAGTGTTAATCCTGGCCAAGTTTTAAAAAAAAATAACAGACGGAGCGCCTCCGTCAACGCTCCACCATTCAAAAATCCACAGAAATTTCCATTCACCCAACCAAAAATTATAGTCAAAAAATTCAATTCACACAAGCACAATTTAAATTTACAGTCAAAAATTTCTATTCCCCCAAGCATTCAAGCATCAAAAAAGTTCAAGCATTCAAGCCTCCACTGCCTCTGCCTCGACGACGCCGCTGCCGAGCCCCGCCGGCCTCCACCACCGCTGCACAGAGCCCCGCCGCAGCCTCCACCGCAGCCCGCTGCAGAAATGGTTTCTGGAATTCGAAGGAAGAAAATGAGCACATGAACAGAAGAAAATGATGATCCAGAAACGTCAAACATAATGAGCAGTTGAACCCCACCACGTGCAAACAGATCAGAACCAAACGCATGAACTGAAGAGAGGATCCTCTCGTGCGGTCGTGCCTCCTCTCTGCAGCTAGCATGCAGCTCCCCGGTGACCACCGGCCAGGCGCCGCCGATCTGGCGGCGGCGGATCTAGCCTCCCCGCTAGCGCCTGGATCCGCCGCGCACCGCCGCCGGCGTCCGAGAGCAGCCGCCCGTGCCCAGATCAGCCGCGCGCCGCCGCCCGCGCTCGGATCCGCTCCCCGTGGCCCTCCGGCGGCCAGATCCGCCCCCCGCGGCTCTGCGGTGGCCGGATCCACCACGCCTGCACCCGTGCCCGTGCCCTTCCCGGCCGTGGATCACGGCGCCCCTCCCGGTCGCCGTCGTCACCGTCGCTAATCCGCCGTGGTTTCCTACGCCAACAGGAGGAGGAGGAGAGGCTGGAGGAGGACAGGAGGTGGAGAGGCTGCAGGAGGAAGAGAAGGAATGGGAGAGGTGAATGGGAAGGGATAAGATTGGAGGAGATTTTAATAGAGGGAATATTTTTTTCACAGTCGGTGCAAGTTAGCTGCCGCCAGCGAAAATCGGCTGCCAGCGATCCTAATTTTTTATGGTAGGCCTCTTAGCGTAGCCGCTAGTGAAAATAGAGCTATTTTTAATGATGGACCTCTTAGCGTGGCCCCCAGTGAAAACCGATTTTCGCTGGCGGTCCGTAACCCCTCACCCCTCGTTACATTTTTAGTAGCGGTTTTCGCGTATAACCGCCAGCGAAAATTATAGGGTGACGCCATGAAAAATCATTTTTTAAGTAGAGAAAGGAATCACATGATTTTCAGAAATATAAGTCTCCACCTTTTTAAGTTTGTAAAATGTAGATTTAGATCATATTTTACCTTGGTTATTCATATAACAAAACATAGCTATATACCATCCACAGATTACAGAATGGCTAGACAGCATGTAGTGAAACCTATACAATTTTTCTTTTTTGTAATTTTTAGAGTAAATTTCACAAAACTATAGGTACTTTGATCAAACTATTGCAGAACTACAGATTTAAGCCGTTGTATCACAAAACTAAATATTTAACACCATATATATCACAAAATTACATATTTAAGGTTAAATAAAACTGCATATTTAAAATTGAAGTTATCATAAAAATACAGCTTTTAGAGTTTAAATCCCTAGCTCCATTATTATGCTGCAGCTATAAACATTATTGTTTTGTGACTAAATTGGTTCTAAAACTTATAGTTTTGTAATAATTTAGTTACTAAATATGTAGTTTTGTGACACTTCATTTTAAATGTGTAGTTTTGTGATAAATTTGGTGTTAAATGTTTAGTTTTGTGATAAACCTAGTTAAATTTGTAGTTTTGTGATAGTTTGGTCATGGTATGTGTAGTTTTGTGAAATTTACTCTAATTTTTATATATTTAATATATACATTGTAGGAATATCTCCTACATTATCTTTTTTTTAAAAAAATCTAACAAATTTTCCCACGTAACTTAAATATATGAAAAGCTAGATTTTAAAGGTAGAAGACACAACACTAGGGAAGTAAGTCTAATTAACGAGCAAACTAATTTTCAGTGAACTGTGAGTTGGTGCATTAATTTAATTTCGTGAATATACGATGACATTAACACATGGTCGTATCCCAAGAATTTGAGGTACGGTCGAAGTACTAAACACAAAATGAGACCTTATATTTTAAAATGCCAAACGATACCAAAAAAAATGATTTCATTTGGGCTATCTATATATTGACCAAAGTTACACAAAGACTAGGGCTATACCTATTTTTCAATCCATCGCAAGAGGTCAATCTCTACCAGTACAGTCAATCTTTGCTCAATCAAAATCGCGGCTGGCAACACCCTCTCTATCCACATCAAGAAAGCTAGCTAAGCTAGTGATCAATCTAATGTGATAATCTCTGTGTTAAGTAGGAATCGTGTGTGACCAAATGATTGCTAGAGGAACACAGATGGATGCACAACAGATATGGCTGGGGAAATTAAGGTTACGAAGAAGAAGAATTTATGTCCTAAGACAACAATTTGATTTTCTTTAGGAAGTGCAAAAATAGAATCCTGAATACTTGAAACGTATGTTAACATCGTCCTCTAAGCTATGTAGTTTCTTTGAGGTAGCTAAATCATCAAAAACACTTGTTCAAGTCGAGAAAATTAAGAGACATCTTCAAACCAAATCGGTGGATAATTGAAGAGGGGAGCTTGAAGAAAGAGAGAAAGAGGAGGTCCTGAATTGAAGCATACTAGAACTAATGCATTATGCGGCCTAATATTGTAGACTCTATTCCATCGCTTATGCTGAACGTGCCTACTCCCTTTGTCATATAAAAAGCCAACTTCTGAATATGAACTTGAACATACGTTATGTCCAGATTCGTAGCTAGAAGTTGATTTTTTATGAGATGAAGAAGCTAGGGAGTATATATATGCGGCCTGCAAGTATTGCAACGTCTTTGCAAACCCTATCGTCTGCACACTCTTGCATGTAACAAATTAATTTAGTTAAGGCTTGCCTAGCTAGCTAGTGTTGTACACTCACGTATATATTATATTATCATATGTTATATACTCCCTTCGTACTTATAAAGGATGTTGTTTTAGATATCGATACCGACACGGTCTTCAAAATACAACTTTGACTTCTTATTTCTATAAAAATATTTATTAAAAAATGATACATTGTACTTTTATGAAAGTATTTTTTAAGACAAATCTATTCATATATTTTTTACATTTTCAAACTCAATAACTTGAGAGTTATTAATGATTTATATTCTCAAAATTTGGCTTAAACATTGTTCTAAATGACTTATTTTACGAGTATGGAGTGAGTATATATATATATAATTTAACGTTGTGTATGATTATACTCCCCGTACATCCTTAAAAGAAGGTAATCTAGGTGAGGATTTGGTACCATCTAAGATAATAAATCTGAATAATTAACCTAGCTCATATCCAGATTAATTCATGAGTAAGCGCTTACCGGATCAGTGGTCCCAAGCTCAAGTACGCCATTCATGAAGGGGACGCAGACAATTGTCTGTATAACCGATCGATATTCATTTCATTAATTAATTAATTAGCTGATGCAGATCAGAAATATAAAATATATATAGGACGTACGAACATCAATTTGGCCTCAAGAAGCATGTACAATAGGTATGTACCTGAATAGAAGCGTTCTGCAACAAATTATTGGCGATCCAAAGAGACACAGCATGTATGCACATAAGTTAGTACTAGATCGATCAACGTAGTCCCTCCATCCTACAATAACTAAAATAACTTAAGCTAAGGTAAGATATATATGACAAATCCTAACACAACATGTCTAGATTCTATCCAAATTTATTATTTAGAATGTATCATATCAGATCTTATCATACATCGTTAAGATATTTTAAGACGAAGAGAGTACAACTATCCTATGTCATTAAGATATTTTAGGACGAGGTTTAATGTACTAGTACGAAAGTACGTACCTGGCTAAGAGCTTGCGTGGAAAGGCTTTGCTATCAGCAGACTGAGCGTTGCACAGCCAGGCACATCCATTGCTTGCAAAGCTTTTACCTGGCAAACTGACAGTGCATGCATACACCACCAGACCAACACGGTAACAACAATTCAGTACGTACTGTGAAATCTTTTTGTCAATATATACATAAAAAATTGACTGCCAGCTGCATGCTTGACTAGCTACTAGTACTACCTTGGATTTAAAATATTAGTACTGGAGTACCTAGTAATACATGATTACTCCACTTATCAGTGCAAATGAATTTAGGCCCTCTTTAGTTCACGAAAAGAAAATTTTTTTTTGTCACATCGGACATTTAACCGGATGTTGGAAGGGGTTTTCGGATACGAATAAAAAAACTAATTTCGTAACTCCCCTGGAAACCGCGAGACGAATTTATTAAGCCTAATTAATCTTTCATTATCACATGTGGGTTACTGTAGCACTGATGGCTAATCATAGACTAATTAGCCTCAAAAGATTGTTCTCGCGATTTTCATGTAAACTGTGCAATTAGTTTTTCTTTTTATTTATATTTAATGCTCCATGTATGTATCTAATGATTCGATGTAATGTTTTTGGGAAAAAAATTTTGGGAACTAAACAAAGACTTATTACACTAGGAATATAGCCCAGCTCTTCAATTAATTTGTGCCAAACTCATTCCTCACTCCAACAACCTCTCTATCTACGACACTCTCCATTAGGTAGTTTCAAATCTATTTCTAGGATTCTTTTTTCGGGAGAGAGTGAGTATATGTTATAACACACTTCTTAACCGCCATCTGTGTGGCACCATTCAGATATAAGGAATTAATCGAAGTTTTCTAGGCCGAAAGAAATGTACCACTAACTAATTATACTATATATCAAAGAAGTATACCATTGTCCAGGCCGGAACGCATAGGTCATGCAGACCATGTAGAACCATTCCATGTTGCCGAGATCCTCCGGCGACAGCGCGGTGACAGGCCTCCTCCTCCTCTGCTGGTCTGCACACTCGCCGGAGAGGAGAGAGCTGTACAGCTCCCTCAGTTGCTCGCTTCTCTGCAGGAGGAGCTGCTCAGCCGTGAGCTCCATCGTCGAACTGCCTATCTTCCTCGTCTTAACCTCGCCGTTGTAGAACCCGTCCTTCCATGTTAGGACTCTACATTTGGCGGAGCCAGAAAAATTTTTAAGCACAAGCAAACTTCAATTAATATAACTATTATTTGCTATAGAAATTTCATCATTAATTTACTCATCAATATTAAAATTTTAATGAAGTTTTTGTTGGCGAGTTGAGGCGGCTTCTACATGTAATAGATTAATTTGTAAACATGTACGTGAATAAGAGAGAAATCAATTAATTGATGTCACCAGTACTATACATATGGTATGGTGAGGAAGAAATTAGGGGAGAACATTTTAAACCATCCAGGGTATTATTTGTCCTCGATCGTTTGTGTTCAATATGGTCCAAATAGATTAGCTGGCCTTGTTTCTAAGGTTGCCACGAGCGATAAAAGTATAGTTTTATTATTTTTATTGCATGTAGTACTTGCTTTCATCCACTACATATATGTATGCTATATATTACATGTTTTAAATATATTTTTGTGCTGGTTTATAGTGTATTCAATTTTTTTTCTCTGCATTTATATAATATTCGTGTTGAGTTTGCATATTTGTTCATGTACGTATACAATTCCACTTACGCAAACCTCTATAGACTTAATTACAATTTTTTACTCCATAACGTCTACTCCATCTGTTCTATTTTAAGTGCAGTTGTGGGTTTCCGTATCCAATGTTTAACCATTCGTCTTATTTGAAAAAAATATGAAAAAATTAAAAAATAATAAGTCATGTATAAAATATTATTAATTTCTTATCATCTAAAATCAATAAAAATACTAATCATCAAAAAAAACTTAAAATAAGACGAACGGTCAAATATTAGATATGA